TGCCAGGTGCTTTTCCACAGGCTTGCACCCCTCAGGATGATCCCTGGTTCAGGATTTTTCCCTCAGAAGTGCCCAGGAGCAGCGGGAGAACCTTTGGAAAAGTGGCCAACTCCATATTCCCAACAATCCCACCTGTCCCTCCACGCCTGGAAGGCAGGGGAAGGGAGAGGGAATTCCCCATGGAATCCTCCCCTGGAAGAGGTGGCTCTTCCCAAGGCATGGAGAAGGCTCCAGCCATGGAGATTTCCAGGATAAATCCCGTGTTTATAAGGAGCCAGGGAATAATTTAAGGATCCAGGACAGCCTCCTGTGACATTTGCTGCAGACATCACCCAATCCTGCTGTTTTCCCACCTGGAAACATTCCCTTCCTTGTAAGGATTTACATCCCAAATGGGAAAAATCCAAGTTTCAGAGAAGGAAACAGCAGCAGAAACGGGGGATTGGGGTCAAAACCAACCAAATCATTGTCATTTGGAACAAATCAAATAACTGGGGGGAAAAGAAAAAACACAACACCCTTTTCCTAAATGTATTTTCAGGGCTGAAACACCCACAGGAGAACTATTTGAGTTCAGTTCAAGGGTTTTGGAGAAGCAAAAGGAAAAAATCCCTTCCAAAAAAACCCCTTTGGAGCGTGGAATATCTCACTGTGGGCTTGGGAAACAACCCCTTTTTGGGCCCCAAAAATGGGACTCCCTGGTGGTGGTTCAGTCCCCATCTCCTGCCACATTAAAATAGGATTTCCAGGCAGGAATTACCAGTCAAATATCCCCCCCAAGTGCTCCCAGGACAGACCTGACACGGTCCCAGGGCAGCAAAACCAACCCAGCTGAGCCCCTGCAGTTCATCTCCCCCGGCTCCCAGTGGGAATTACCTTTCTGGGAAGAGGATGCCTGAGAGCTTTGAGTCTCTTTTCTTATCTCAGCCACTTTCTTCCTGTAGTAAAGGAATTCTCTGCTGTTCTTATCGTGCAAAAACCTGGAGAGGGAGAAAAAAAACAGCTGAAAAAACACCCCACGGATCAGCAATTCTTCAGTATTGATACTCTGGGGTAAAGAAACAGCTCAAATCCCAAAGGGAAAACAGAGAAATCCCTCAGAATACCCTTAAAAGGTGGATTTAGCATTTGTGGACACACAGAGCTCTGATCCAAGGACTTGCATCCAGGTTCACTCGAAGGGAAATAAGGAACAATCTGTGCTGGTACGGGAGGGAACCCTCTGCCCACCACTCCTGGGATCCAACCCAGCATTCCCACCTGCTGGAAGGGCCACAGGAGCTCTGTCCCCTCCTC